GACGTAACACACTGTGTTATATAATCTCTACACACACACTGTGTTATATAATCTCTACAGAGACGTATCACACTGTGTTATATAATCTCTACAGAGACGTATCACACTGTGTTATATAATCTCTACAGATACGTATCACACACTGTTATATAATCTCTACAGAGACGTATCACACTGTGTTATATAATCTCTACAGAGACGTATCACACACTGTGTTATATAATCTCTACAGTGTTATATAATCTCTACATATATAATCTCTACAGAGACGTATCACACTGTGTTATATAATCTCTACAGAGACGTATCACACTGTGTTATATAATCTCTAAAGAGACGTATCACACTGTGTTATATAATCTCTACAGAGACGTATCACACTGTGTTATATAATCTCTACAGAGACACTGATATAATCTCTACAGATATCACACTGTATATAATCACACATATAATCTCTACAGAGATGTATCACACTGTTATATAATCTCTAAAGAGACGTATCACACTGTCTTATATAATCTCAACGGAGACGTGTCACACTGTGTGTTATATAATCTCTACAGAGACGTATCACACTGTGTTATATAATCTCTACAGAGACGTATCACACTGTGTTATATAATCTCTACAGAGACGTATCACACTGCCATATAATCTCTACAGAGACGTATCACAGTGTGTTATATAATCTCTACAGAGACGTATCACACTGCTATATAATCTCTACAGAGACGTATCACACTGTGTTATATAATCTCTACAGAGACGTATCACACACTGTGTTATATAATCTCTACAGATACGTATCACACACTGTGTTATATAATCTCTACAGAGACGTAACACACTGTGTTATATAATCTCTACAGAGACGTATCACACTGTGTTATATAATCTCTACAGAGACGTATCACACACTGTGTTATATAATCTCTACAGAGACGTATCACACACTGTGTTATATAATCTCTACAGAGACGTAACACACTGTGTTATATAATCTCTGTGTTATATAATCTCTACAGAGACGTATCACACACTGTGTTATATAATCTCTACAGATACGTATCACACACTGTGTTATATAATCTCTACAGACACGTATCACACTGTGTTATATAATCTCTACAGAGACGTATCACACTGTGTTATATAATCTCTACAGAGACGTATCACACTGTGTTATATAATCTCTACAGATACGTATCACACACTGTGTTATATAATCTATACAGAGACGTTTCTCACTGTGTTAAATAATCTCTATAGAGATGTATCACACTCAATGTTATATAATCTTTACAGAGACGTATCACACTGTGTTATATAACCTCTATAGAGATGTATCTCACTGTGTTATATAATCTCTATAGAGACGTTTCTCACTGTGTTAAATAATCTATACAGAGACGTATCACACTGTGTAATATAATCACTTGATGCATTGTATCACACAGGACTTACAGAAATTTACAGAAGATTAGTGTGGTGCTGAACTCGCGAAAATTTGACTTGTAAACGTACATTGTACATGTACAGCAAGGAAACATCGCACGATGTGACAGTAAACGATACTAATACAAGTTAATCTCTGTCACCCGTCATCGCGGCGATGTCCCGGCGGACTGGTGCACACATGTCTGATGTCACATGTCTGATGTCACATGTCACTTGTCATACAGTATCTTAACTTGGGGCTAAATCTACCACTATATCCCGCGAACCCGCTGTGATCCTCCTGCGATCAAGCCGCGGCTATGAGCGACAGCTCAGCAACTCGGTCGCTCCCGCAGGGTGTGAGAGCCAAATCACCTCAACTGTACTGTACATCATATTACATTAATAAAATCACTCAAATTTAAAAAAAAAAAAAAAAGTTTCCATGACAGTTGTCAGCTGGATTTGATAACAACTAATTCATTACGACTGTGATATTAGTTCTACAAATCATACAGATATAAATGTGATATGGAAGTAAATACAAATATATAGATTAACAAGACCCAAGTCTTCAATGTGAAGAAGGTTTCCCTGGACAAATTTCAACCTGTAGTTCGTCTCTCATACAGACACACAACAACCGCAAATGAAGATATGCTTAAATTTTCATAAAATCTCGCTGCTTCGAAATCACCAGTTCGCTAGTTATTTACCAAATACACAAATACGCCCGTCTCAAAATAGTGATCTCCAACAGACTACGTTCAAGATTAGTTAAAAATGGCGGAGTCTTAACTTCCTACGGATAAGATTCGCGTATATTGGAATTTAAATACATAATAAAAGCAATTAGGTAAAATAAACACTCTATTGCAATGAATGATAATGAAGTGAAATATAGTTAAATCCTTTATACACGGTCTTTATAGATGAGGATTTCTGAACCCAGATCTAATATAAAGAATGTATTAGATAATATTGCCAGGTCGTTACTACAGAATATTCATTAAGACGTTACGAGAGTAGTGTGGTATTGGCATTTCAGATCAATGGACAAAAAACAATGCTGAAACGTGGTATAACCTCCATTAAAGTATGGTGGCGGGATGGCAGGTTGATGGATTAAAGAACTTCTATCAAAATAAATCGTGCCATGACAGTATCATTAAGAATGCTATCAATCCTCACAGCTCACATATTGGCGTTCATCCTAACATCTTTATACCCTGCTCATCCTAAAGGCAACAGTGTTTTCTTGTCACTCGGAAACGAATACTGTTAATATGGTGGAGTGGTACCATTATAACACTATTGCCTCTACTATTGGAAAAATTCGGAGGGGGATAACATTTATTGTTTTCCTATTTATTATGAAATGCCAGAAACCATCCAATCAAAAGAAAGCCATGAATATTGAATGATCTTCAATTCTCACGTTCTGATCACTGTAGATATTGTGTATCCAAACAAATAATGCGATGCTTAATGGCACATATTGAGATTAAATTGTACACAAGTGAATTGTTCCTTGTTCAAGAGGGCGACGTGACTCTAACATTTACGAGTATATAATATGTTGATTTTTTTCTTTTAAATTGTTGCAATAATTTTGTTCCTATTGCACAACAAAGCATAAACCAATGAAATTGATCCCTAAGGTCTTTGATATGTAGGAAATTAAAGATAAATATGTACCCTAGTCCTCCAAACTAGTGTGATTACCATCAATGGTACAGAGCACGGTAAATTTCCCCTCTGAATCCGTTTTTTGTTTATGAAATAGACGATGGTTATTTGTTTCCGTAATTACGACAATGGTTATGTGCATAACAATATCTACTGTATGCTCTGCAGAACAGAATAGAAATAAGATTGAAAGCACAACAAATTCCTTATATTCCATCAAATTTATCCTGAAACACGTGCATGTGCACTAAAATCTAGACGCGATCAATTTTACTATGTCACTGAAGCTCTTGGAAAATGCCGTATAACATGCAAGTATTTGGTTATGTTTTTTTCAATCTCGGTCGTTCAAATGCTTTATCAGCAAAGCACGTGCAACTGATGACTTGTAGATTGTGTAAAAAAATAATTTAAATAATTAAAAATATTATATCGCTCATATCGTAGAAATGTATTTTTGTACTCTGGAAGAAGGTACGGTTTGTCGTTGTTATTCATTTGTTGGTATGTTGTGTGTGTTCCTCCTAAACGCAGCGCTCAAAGTGCATATTATAAAGTTAATACGTGTGTATTTCTGTTATTTGGTTTATGTTGTACCTGATTGTCGTAAATACATTTTGTACATGTTCAGCATCGATATCCGGGTTCTTCAGTTACTCGGAAGAAAAGATGGGAGCCAGTAAACATTATTTTTATGCAATGTATCCATATATATAAATAGATATACCCCGAGATGCCCATACACACGAGGGACGACCCGAAGTAGAGCACTCGCGTGAGGATACGTGTGTCTATTCAGTTCTTTAAAAAGTTTTGGAGGAAGTCAGCCGTATCAAGTTTTAAAATATTTGTAAACATTTTGCTGACATCCCACCCTCTAGTCCTCCCACCTCAACGTAACATATTTGTATTTTTGATGTTTTTTATTATTCTGATATGTTTATATAAAGCGTTTGTCATTGTTTTTCAATTTTGTCGTAATGAATGCCAGAAGGTTTTCCAGAGTTTCCCAGCTCTTTCCGCGCTTTATCTCTGGTTTTTAACCCTGGGCGTGCCGATAATTGTGCCAATGCCTCAGTAATGTGATAGTGAGAATGCTTGGGTGTCACATCCTGTAATGACTAAGAAATCACTGTTCTACAGCAGGTGTTGCGTATATATGATAGTTCATGGATATGATGGCGAGAATATTTGTTTATCGCTCCATAACATTTTTCTCCAGCAGATTTGTGTAAAAGATGGTGAAAATACCTGGTTATGACTTCCTGTAATGACTAAGAATTCGTTGTTATCCAGTAGATGCATATATATGATAGCGAAAATGCTTGGTTATCAATCTCTTTAATGACTAAGAAATAATTATTCTCCAACAGGGTGTGTATATAATAGTAAGAAAGCTTGGTACTGTAATGACTAGTAATTCGCTATTTACCAACAGGTGTGTGCATATAATAGTGAGAATGCTTGGTCCTGTAATGACTAGTAATTCGCTATTTACCAACAGGTGTGTGCATATAATAGTGAGAATGCTTGGTCCTGTAATTACTAGTAATTCGCTATTTACCAACAGGTGTGTGTTTATGATAGTGAGAATGCTTGGTCCTGTAATGACTAGTAATTCGCTATTTACCAACAGGTGTGTGTTTATGATAGTGAGAAAGCTTGGTACTGTAATGACTAGTATTTCGCTATTTACCAACAGGTGTGTGTTTATGATAGTGAAAATGCTTGGTCCTGTAATTACTAGTATTTCGCTATTTACCAACAGGTGTGTGTTTATGATAGTGAGAATGCTTGGTCCTGTAATGACTAGTAATTCGCTATTTACCAACAGGTGCGTGTTTATGATAGAAACAGTTGATAACGCCTCCATGAGTACAGACAATATATCGGCGGTTCTGGACGACTTACTGGTCAATTACGACAAGAAACTGCGGCCCGGATTTGGAGGTAAGGGCCTATTTTCACAAACTATTGCTACATAGCATTGGCTATTTTTCTGAATGTTCTACTGTATAATCTTATATTATTTTTCCTGGTGATATTTTTATTTGATTGCCGTGCTAGGGGTATTTCTTCTGTGTATTTTACAAGCAGAAATTTACAAGACACAGCGGGAGTCGTTGTCAGCATTTTTAGCATAATTTTGATTTCGATAAACCTTATCTAATTCTATTGAATAAGCGTTTAAGTGTGTCATTCAGATGACTACACTTGCCATCGTCATAAGACAAATGACCAGTTTAAACTTACTTGCACTGGCGAACAGAACAGTATGTTACGTACAAGGTGGTAAGGAATCGACCAACTTTTACGGTTGAGCTTTAACACTATACACACTAAAAAATAGTGTGACGAGACGGTAAACAGATTATAAAATAAAGTACACAAAATGGTAGCAATGTGCTGTAGTCGATTCGCCCACACTTTGTTTAACACTTTGTCTTGGAGGTGCAAGAGTATGTGGCCCCCCTCCTCCCTGTTGACTAAACGCCTGAAAGGTTTTCCCTGTTCGTTGTCAATGGTATACTTTTGGTGAGTGGAATTATCTATTGCTCATCTGGTACCGAGAATCCTCTCACTCTGACCAATTGAAGTTTATATTGTCTTAGAATTCAGTGGCTCTCTGAAGTTCATTAATTCGGACCCCGAGTCTCATGACTGTTTCTCCGATAAACGATACATCGCAGTGCTGGTATTCTATTGTCACATCAGGGTATTTATCCCAGAGATCCAAAAGGACATTTCCGAGGGTCTTGTGAGAGGTTTCATAACATTTGCAATGCAATGACCATGACATCTCCCCTGAATGATTTTTGACATGACTTTGATGTAAGGAATGACAACCTGCCCTTTCGGTTGGTTCCTTCCCTAGCTGCTCCTGCTCTTACATATCTTTATGGATTGCCAATTGCGACACCACATGATTTCATAGAGTTATGAACGTGGTTGTGTTCGTACTTCTTGCTCTTCTATGATAATCGTTTCACAACTGCTGAGCAAAGTCCGTACAACTCCCAATTTCTAGAATAAGAGTTGGTGCTATCAAAAGTTTAGGTACTGGTGCGTGCGCGTCTAGAACGGTGTCATTTTCTTCCTTACGGGTGAATTGGATGCTGTTTACTATCTCTTCATACTATTTTAGTTGTCATCGATGAAGCAAAAGACGCAAACTCTTGCGGAACACCTGGTCTTATTCTCCTTATACTTTTTTCAGGACTCTCTGTGTAAATCTTCCTTTTGTTCATATTTTGCCCCTGGTTCATGGAATTTGAGTTTGAATTACGATTATATTGCCATGTTGGTATGTTCTTGATGTTTTTAACCAAACTGTACACTATGTGCAATGCACGTTAGTGATAGTACGCTTCTAACTGATCTGATGAAGGTGATCGTGCATCATTGAAACGTCACATTAAAATTTGATACGGGTTGCGTAACACTTCAAAAGATTTTTTATTCTACTGAGATAATTAATCTGTAGAAAATGTTCCGATGTGTATTTAATTCTAATGAGCTATTAACTTGTGTTTATTTTTGTAAAATCCTTTAATGAACTTTAGTCCTAGAGATTTTGCCGTAATCCCGCATACCACAGTTAATTCGGATACATACGACTCAGGTGATAGACATTTACGTGATGACGGTTTAGAAATTCTCATGATATTGTAAAATACTAATTTCATTGGCAAATACAATCTCCCCAGCTATTATCGAGCAATTTTGATTTTCATAAGTAACCCCTCCGATTAAAAAGGGGCTCGTATATCATTTAGTTTCAGCTGGATGAACCATCTTACGAATGATTGATCTAAAATGCAATTTGTTATAGATGTATTCCTTCAGAGGTTGTAACATAACCTACATTCTTTATTGCAGGCGATCCCCTGGAAGTCCAAATCGACATACTTCTGAGGTCAATGGGTCCGATATCAGAGCGAGATATGGTAAGGAATGACCAGAGAAATCACTGTGTAGATTGACATTCAACATACAGGCGACCCGGCAGCATTTTAAAGTTGGGACATATTTAATGGGAAAACCCTTTACACCATTATGATTGAATTCCTTTCCCCATTCCGTTCCAAAGTTGCCATTAAGAAAATGGATTTTTAGTTCCGCCCCAAGAATGAGATAAATTTCTATAGTGAGAGACCCGGTCTACATTACTAGCTTAATACACACTCTATATTCATATTTGAAGATAATTAGTAAAAAACTTCCAGCAGATCATGAAAATAATAACACTCTCGTGTCATTTGATACAAAGAGACTGCGTGATTCGTGTCTTAAAATGTAAGTTGGCGCGAGAAGAAAAGACAAATGCGGCGAGTAATTAGTAAGCCACTTTTAATCTGTCTGGAACCGAAATACAGCTTTTGTTTCAATACATTGTCCATATATTCTATTCATCTTGCAATACTTACCGAGAATTCTCAAAAACTAAAATTCAACAGTTTGTTAGTCATTCAATCATTGTTAACCTGACATTGGCATTGCACTAAGTTGTACCTGGTGACGCAGAGCAAACCTATTGCTCCGCGCGAAAATGTAGTTTCACATTTCAATGGATATAAGGAGAGGCCACCTTCACTACACTAAGGGAATCTCGGAGGGGGTTCGTCGTTAACATTTCATACAATGTAGGTACATAGAAACAGTTATCTTAAAACATCACGCTGAACCTCAGATTATAGTGGATGGAATATGCACATATATATTTATTTCTTGTTTCATATGGGTAAAACCGACGGAACCTTCACCATTATGAAGGTAAAAAATGATTTCCGTATAACACTTGGATTGACAACTTTTGACTGCTAGCTTGGTTTTTTTTCACACTTTCAACATAATTAAACTACAATATCCAAACACATTACTTGTGCTTTTTAATATATCTATATTGCATATATGAATAGAATAGAAGTTCTTATAACACAACCGGATTCAAGTGTGACAACACGGTTACCTTCATCAGACAAATGACCAGTGTGGAGCGTACTAACACAGACGTACATGTACGTAGTAAATAAGATGGTAGGAAATCGTCCAAAGTTTTCGGCTGTACTATAATCCTATGTGAAACAAGGTCGGAAATAGTTTGACGAGATGGTAAACACATTATAGACCAAAAATACACAGAATGTTACAAATGTATTGTAGTCATTTCGGCTACGCTTTGGTCATATATTCTATTCTTCTGCTAGTTGTGTTACAACAACTGTTATTCTATTGGTATTGCCAGCCCGAGGAAAATGCTTGTAAATAAAGTGTCGTATGAAGATATCATTAGATATCTGATCATACATGTTTAAACACGTGATATAGTGTTTATCCAGCTTAGATATCTGATCATACATGTTTAAATACGTGATATAGTGTTTATCCAGCTTAGATATCTGATCATACATGTTTAAACACGTGATATAGTGTTTATCCAGCTTAGATATCTGATCATACATGTTTAAATACGTGATATAGTGTTTATCCAGCTTAGATATCTGATTATACGTGTTTAAATACGTGATATAGTGTTTATCCAGCTTAGATATCTGATCATACATGTTTAAATACGTGATATAGTGTTTATCCAGCTTAGATATCTGATCATACATGTTTAAATACGTGATATAGTGTTTATCCAGCTTAGATATCTGATTATACGTGTTTAAACATGTTTAAATACGTGATATAGTGTTTATCCAGCTTAGATATCTGATCATACGTGTTTAAACACGTGATATAGTGTTTATCCAGCTTAGATATTTGATTATACGTGTTTAAATACGTGATACAGTGTTTATCCAGCTTAGATATCTGATCATACATGTTTAAATACGTGATATAGTGTTTATCCAGCTTAGATATCTGATCATACGTGTTTAAACACGTGATATAGTGTTTATCCAGCTTAGATATCTGATATACATGTTTAAACACGTGATATAGTGTTTATCCAGCTTAGATATCTGATTATACGTGTTTAAATACGTGATATAGTGTTTATCCAGCTTAGATATCTGATTATACGTGTTTAAATACGTGATATAGTGTTTATCCAGCTTAGATATCTGATTATACGTGTTTAAATACGTGATATAGTGTTTATCCAGCTTGGTCCAGGTATTGTGGCTATTCGTTACAGAATCTACAACGAAGATATCAATATTAACAAATATAACGGGGCGCTTGTCAGCGTGTCGACTCCTACAGTAACCATAACATTATTCGTGAGAAACGTTGACGGATTCTTACAGCTACATTTAACACGGGGAAATAATTTATTGAAAATGTAGCCAAGTGCGAAATGATATTGGTTTTACTGGCGAGTAGTAGAAACAGACAGGGATAGCATCGGACTTCGATTCAGTGAAAGAAAGCCATATTTCTGTTTGTAGTGGTACTCTCCCGCAAACCCATTTTTGGAACAAAGGACGTAGTATAAAGCTAGCTTTTCAGTTGCGTATTTTCCCTCTGACTGCATATTTCATTTGATTAATTGTGTCTAGGGTCATGAGGAGTATACTAACATCGCCACTGATACTTCGGTCAATAGGCTGCTCATACATACACACTTACTTCTATTCATGAATATGACGGCACAAAACGTTTCGCCTTCTGTATTGAATAGCGACGCGATGCTGGCTTCTCGCTCTCTCGCAGTCAACTTGAATGCCATACAGGATGGTAAGAAGCGATGCATAAAGATAAAAAATGATTGCTTTATTTCCATATAACGGTTTTGTCGAGTTAAGTGGTAGGGCAATCTTATTTATAATTTGCTTTAGAAGTACAGCGATAATATCCCCAGTGGCTCTGATGCTAACTTGCGACGTTTCGTTTCAAACAAGACGGGTGACGTAATATAATAACCTTGGAGTCTGGTAGCCATATACGTATGCCCTGATGTGACCGTCGCTTACGTGTGAACTTCAGCCAAATCATAATAGTTGGTGTATTCTAGGACTTGATCGTCTGCGATAAGGCTTAATCCGTTATGAATTGTTTTTAATTGACTCTGGGACGCCGTGGCACGGGTTTGGGCTTGGATACAATTCCAAACTCACACGACATCATGCTATAATATTTACCGGGTGCTGAAGTCAGTAATCAAACTCCATACATTTCACTCAGAGACAAACCAATTGATGGAATAAAACCCAATATTATGTCAAAATAGTACATTCGAAGTCTCGCTTGTTTTAAAGATCAGTGATATGATAGACCAACATTATTATGCGAAAAGTAACTAATGTTACAAACAACACTGATTGTAACTTTCAGTAGTCATCGACTCATTCGTGTGATGGTTGCAGGATAAATGCATACGTATATGCAAAATAAAAAAAACAGAAACAAGAAAAAAAAAACAAAAACTTTTCGTGTTTTTCATCTTTTTGATATTTTGACCAGTGTAATGTAAGAAACTTCCAGTTTGGTTAAAACGTTAATAACTACACCGCTGATGTACGAATTCTGATATTACCACTTGTGATAATAGTATTTTCTGATGTCGATAAGTTTCCACCAATAAGGTCGGTGCTTTCTATCAGTTTCAATGCTTTAATATTTTTTCTTTTTAAAAAGAATAAGCGTTGTATAATTTTGTACTGAAGCGGCTAGTTCAGAATGGCGCGCCGTGATGTTGACAGGAGTATAAAGTTATCATTGCTAATTTTCAAACTATGTGCTACTTGTTTCCATGCATTAAAAAAACATTGTTTTTTGTTTTTTTTGTTTTTTTTTTATTTGTTTTCTTGTTTTTGTTTATTGATAAATGTGATGAATGGAAAAAGCTCCAGTTTAATATCAGAACACTCATCAAATATGCTCTCTACCCCACGTTTCGATAACCGGGATTTCGATATTTTGGATGATTTTAAACAACCTTCCGTTTCTTTATTCAATTATAGGTTTATGCTGTATACATCCTTCGTCTCATTTTACAGGCCTGTTATTATTGCATGTAATGTTTGCCAATACTTTCGTTGTGTCCAGATGTGGCTACATGAACTTTTCACCTAAAATGCTTATCCGGCAACTGATTCTAAGTGTGATACAGATTAGGACAGAACCATTGACTTTTTTTCTAACCCTTCTCTCTGATTTCAGGTGTACACCATGGATATTTACTTCCGACAAAGGTGGATGGATGAGCGTCTAGCCACAAACACGTCTATAGAGAACATATCCGTCAGTATCAAACTGCTAGAAAAAATCTGGTACCCGGATACTGTCTTCTTCAATGGCAGAAAGTCTTCTCTCCACCTTGTCCCAACCCCAAACAGGTTCATAAGGATAGGCAACAATGGGTCGATGTATCTTTCACAAAGGTGAGTACTTCCCTAGCAATCGTACAGGTAACAGCGGGTCTATGTATCCCTCACAAAATTAGATACTGCCCAAGTTATCAATGAAGCTGGCCCACGTACTGTGTTTCGCAGAGATCATTCTCTCATTTATACTTGTGTAACACTGGCCTTCCCAGGGCAATGCACCCAGGTTCGCTGTTTTTGTATTATCACCTACCATTGCAATACAGGCCCGCGCGAGTGAAAAATGACCTGTCCATTCCCAAGTGACGTCATCACTTGATACAATGTATACACACGTGTACAGATAGTTACTGACAATGACTGTTTATTTATTTATCTTTTTATTTTCTAGGTCAAGCATTGTTTACCAAATTTAGTTACGGAGGATCCTTTTTCTGTCAACTTGTCTATTATTTTATTTTTTTTTCCTTTATCACAGTTTGTTACCCCTCGGGTGGAATATCTTTGTCCTACACCCAGACATATGAAAGCGTCTTAGAGTACTGCCCCATTAATTGTAAAAAAAAAAAAAGATCAACAACGGATCCACGTATTTCTCATAAAAGTGAGTTCTATTTCAACAATCGTGAAGGTTAAGTAGGGTCCACGTATTTTTCCCCAAAAGGTGGGTTCCACACAAACAAACCCATTACTGAAAGTGCTATTTGGGCCGTGTCTTCAGATATTCAAATTTAGAAGCTTAACACAGTAGCGCAAATAACATGTTCATAGAAACACGTGTTATCTTCATGTGTTACAGACTGACAGTGCGGGCGATATGTCAAATGAAGCTGCAGAATTATCCTCTGGATTTCCAAGTCTGCCCGCTACATATAGGCAGCTGTGAGTATTACGTTTCTCAGTACGTCATAGCTGATGTCATAGAACACCCCAATCAATAACGTCACCACAACCTAGACAGACACACGAAACAACACTTCGTTCCGTAGTAATTTGAAGGTAATTTCAGGTCGTTTTGGTCATGATAAATCAACACAGTTAAATAAATCATTACCTGGACAAACCTTATTCAGTGACATTCACAAATAACATTTTCGGCATTGTTACACTCGAATTGCATTTAATATAGCAGTGACCCACAACCAAAACGGCCAAATTATCAATCGTGTATTTGTAGGCAAAAAGAATATACATGTATATATAAACGCAAACATCCTTTAGGATTTCTTTAGAAAGAAATTAGCACAGCTTACATGAAATTTTATTCTGAGTGCGAAAATAACTACTACCCTCCACTCTCCATGTCTTTAAGATTTGCAAGGTCATAAAGATTGCATCTCTTGGCTGGTTTTAAGTAGGATATTCTCACAAGCCTTGGCTTTAATGGCAGCCATTTTCTGTGATTGCTATTTATCGTTACACCCACCGATAGAAATTGCCTTTCAAATTTTATGTTTTGGGGTAATTGCATTTCTAATGTATGACATTTTACCGTCAAATGGAATTGATTATTGAGGCCATTCCAAAAGAACACGAAAACATCCAAGCAAACCGCATACCCAATAAAAGTCCAAGGAACTATATCTTTCAAAATATCATATTATACTCGCTCTCACGTAAACGATGTAGACGTCTCTTTTCTTCTGTGTTTGTTGAACAGTTGGTGCTGGTTAGCCAGTCCATCAGTATTGTGGTTAGGCTACTAATGAATTTTTATGTTATTTTGTCGTCTATACTACGCGTTACAAGTAGTTTCAAAACACAAAGTTTTGCGTTTCATTAGTTGCAAAACACAAAGCTTTGCGTTACAAATCGTTTCAAAACACAAAGCTATGCGTTATAAGTAGTTTCAAAACAGAAAGATTTGCGTTACAAGTAGTTTCAAAACACAAAGCTTTGCGTTATAAGTAGTTTCAAAACACAAAGCCATGCGTTACAAGTAGTTTCAAAACACAAAGCTTTGCGTTACAAGTAGTTTCAAAACACAACCAACGTCAAACAGTTCAGGGATCGCACAATGTTGTCCTTCCATCAGTGGGTTGGTGGTAAGTGGGTTTTATTGTTGCCTTCTGTAACTCTACACGTAAAACATACTAACACTAGACATTGATAGAATGTCTTATGCTTCTATTGTGCATCAAAACGTATCAAGATTTCGATATTTCGTACAAATTGGCTATATATATAGACAACCTCTCGGAACGTTACATTGTGTTTAATTCGAATATATGATGTCACATGCGTTTTTATTATAATAGCTCATTATCAATTAAGTATATAATACAGTCGATGTCACGTAGAAAAAAACATTGATAACATTTATGAATCTCCGACCGAACATGGAATTCCGTTAATAGCCTTAAACAGGTTTCCGTGTACTATCAAATCTGGATAAAATTATAGACAATGCGGTTTTCTGGAACAATAACAAAAAACGCATTTCATAAAATATAACACATCTGAAGAAATTATCATAAAAGTCAATTATCAACGTCTATCAAAATTGCGTAATGACAGTGGCGCGACACTAAATATTTACACTTGTGACACAAGATCAAATAAAACCAGAGACATATACACTAAAAGCTGTCCTTGATATAGTCAAGGTCAAAACACAAACAAAACGAAGGACACGAATAAATAACACGATCGTCAATGAAGTTGTCTTTGAATTACTGTTTACCAAAAACTAGGCAACTTTCACAATTATCAACTTAGCTGTATTTACTCCATTGTGTTTACCGATGGTTAAGCTAAAGTTATGTGTTGCAATGAACCATAAGGAGAAGAAATGCGAATTAAGCTGTCAATTTATTACGTAATGTAAGATTTATTGACACAACGTAACCGGGAATCAATGTAATTACTATTCCCTACACATTTATATATCATTCCTACCGCGTTTTGGAACGCTGATATTTATATTCTCAGGAAGATGTAATCTGTATTTTATTATATACTGATAAAATATGCTATCATAATTCATTTTTATGAAAGTCGATATGTTTTCAATGTATAACTTATAGTTTTTTCTGAATTATTCAAAACAATACTTATTAACCAACAATTGACAACACTGAGATTTATCTATCAACATTTAAGCATTCGAAACCAAGTACAATTGACACGTAACAAAACATCAACACGAAAGGAGAATGTATCACTGTGTCAACACATGAGGACAATGTATCACCATGTCAACACATGAGGACAATATACTACCGTGTCAACACATGAGGACAATGTATCAGCGTGTCAAAACATGAGGACAATGTATCACCGTGTCAACACACGAGGACAATGTATCACCGTGTCAACACATGAGGACAATGTATCACCGTGTCAACACATGAGGACAATGTATCACCGTGTCAACACATGAGGACAATGTACTACCGTGTCAACACATGAGGACAATGTATCACCGTGTCAACACACGAGGACAATGTATCACCGTTTCAACACACGAGGACAATGTACTACCGTGTCAACACATGAGGACAATGTATCACCGTGTCAACACACGAGGACAATGTACCACCGTTTCAACACACGAGGACAATGTATCACCGTGTCAACACACCAGGACATTGTACCACTGTGTCAACACACGAGGACATTGTACCACCGTGTCAACACACGAGGACATTGTACCACCGTGTCAACACACATGGACAATGTATCACCGTGTCAACACACGAGGACAATGTATCACCGTGTCAACACACGAGGACAATGTATCACCGTGTCAACACACGAGGACAATGTACTACCGTGTCAACGCATGAGGACAATGTACCACCGTGTCAATACACGAGCACAATGTACAACCGTGTCAACACACGAGGACATTGTATCACCGTGTAAACACACGAGGACAATATATTACGTGTCAACAAACGAGGACATTGTACCACTGTCAACACATGAGGACATTGTACCACCGTGTCAACACACGAGGACATTGTACCACTGTCAATACATGAGGACATTGTACCACCGTGTCAACACACGAGGACATTGTACCACTGTGTCAACACACGAGGACAGTGTATCACCGTGTCAACACACCAGGACATTGTACCACTGTGTCAACACACGAGGACATTGTACCACTGTGTCAACACACGAGGACAATGTATTACGTGTCAACACATGAGGACATTGTACCAACGTGTCAACACACGAGGACAATGTATCACAGTGTCAACACACGAGGATAATGTATCACCGTGTCAACACACGAACATTGTATCATCGTGTCAACACACGAGGACTTTGTACCACTGTGTCAACACACGAGGACAATGTATCACCGCGTTAACACACGAGGACAATGTATCACCGTATCAACACACGAGGACAATGTATCACATTTTCAACAAAAGAGGACAGTGTACAATGCACCATGATGTCAACACTCATGGAAAATTATTTATAGTGTCAACACACGACGACAATGTACTACAACGTAAACAACAAAGAATAATGCATCATAGTATCAATATACTTGCAGTGTCAACACACGAGGACAACGTACCATATTGTCAACACACAAGGACATTTTATTACAGTCTCAACACACGAAACAATTTGTATAACAACGTCAACACACGAATATATTGTATCACATCATCGAAACATGTTACCATAACGTCAACACACGAATCACTACGCCATTTTCCATGTTAGGAAACTAAGTGCCACGGTATTGCACGCTGTGTCAACACACGAATCGCTACGCCATTTTACATGTTAGGAATCAAAGTGTCACGGTATTGCACGTTGTGTCAACAAAGGAGGAAATTACTTCAGAGGATGAAGTTAAGATTATTATTCGGAGATGTCATCATTGTACAGATCAGTAGATAACGATACTGACTCAAAACCCACCGCAGTAGAACAGAGCACACTATGTACCCTATATCAGCAGTAGTGTTTGTCTTACTCTCGGTTAATTATCAACGATAATACAGCTCCGTGTGGAGCTGTTCTGTAAGCAACGCTGCGTGATCACTAGTGACAATCTGAAAATACAGGAACTTTAATTTGTAGCTGTCGACTTTGATGTTGTCTGCACGAGATGTATATTAGAATTAACAGGCATTTGGAAAGTGATTAATGTTTGTATTATACACGACTGCCAGGGTATTTGATAGTAAGTCTTTCCTCACGTGAATCATTTGAGTGGAATATACATGGTACTTACGTATAATTAACTTTTTGATAGCCTGTGTACATTTGTGGAACTAAGTGCTTTCATAACTCAAACAACAAGGCCAGAAGCATTTAAACAGAAAAGCAGATTTCCCAGAAAACCCTGTTGCCAAGGAATTAACACCAATCATTCTTTACATCGACCTCCCTATGTAGGTTCTGTCGATTAACTTCAGGACTGTTGAAAAATACTTTTAACAGTTGCTTAAAATGTCAGGAAAACACACGATTATCGCCTGGATTTGTATTCAAACGATACAGATGTAATTGCACGTGTATGACGAACACGTATCGAAAAGTATTTTCCTTATCTACATGCTGACAGCGATGCCATGTTTAAGTGTTCAATACAAAAGTCAGTTTGTATGTGACAGGATACTAGGATGGTTTGCTTGGCAAGAAGTCGCAAGAGATTGCCTACAGCCAGCCTTACGGCTTTCATCTCTTGTGTTCACCAAGTCATTTTCTTTGTATTGACATTCAAGGGTCCACATGACATATTTTCTGTCTGATGGCTCCATATTTCAGCATTTTCCTTGCTAGGGACTCTGTTAGTGCTTTTCCATGTCGTAGTCTTTCAAGATAGAGTGGAACACCAGATTCATCGCGTAGAACATCTGCCTCTTTGAAGAACAAATCATTTGGCGCATGGACTTATCGCCCCA